AAATTTTCTTTGCTCTATGTTGAGCTGCATATCAACTTGAGTTGTCTGTTTTGTGAATTGAAACTCCCTGGCTCCCTCAGACCTCGCCCCTAACACTATTCAGCTGAGGAGGATTCTGTGGTACCTGCTTCCAGTCGTCGGGGTGCACCGAGAATTCACAGCTCTCCAATGGAACTTCTTGACCAATTATGTGCTCCGCAAGCTCGCATGACTCTCAGGGTCAACGATTACAGATGGAACGTCGAGTTCAAGGCGACACACACATATTGGGTGGAAGAGTTTGGAAAGAAAAGCTTCTCGAAGACGTTCACCAAGCAAAATTGGCAGGATCCTCTCAGGCAGGTACACTGCCATATGTGGACCAAATGGGATCTTGCAAGGGATGACTTCCCGCTTGATGAAGGCATCGAAGAACAACACCCTGGTGTGGTGGACGCTGATGTTCTTCGGGGCCTGGCTCCGATAATAGCTGCACTTCCGCCAAAGAAAAACTACTAGGCTTCGCAGACTATGCCTTCGATGAGTTCGTGCTGTAGTCGCTGCTGAACCTGTCTGAAATCAGCAGTCTGAAATCAGCAGTCTGAAATCAGCTTCGTCTGAAATCAGCAGTCTGAAATCAGCAGTCTGAAATCAGCATAGCCATGATGCCTGCCACTCCTCAGCCGAAGCGGCTTCGGGTCTGAAATCAGCAGTCTGAAATCAGCAGTCTGAAATCAGCATAGCCATGATGCCTGCCTCACTCCTCAGCCGAAGCGGCATTCCAACTAACCGAACGGGCGGGAGGAAAAGAGCAAATGGGGGAGGCCGCTAACCCATGATTAGGTTATATCTCTTTCTGCTGAGCACATGCTTTCTGTTCTCTTGGATCGACGACAGAATGACACTGCCCATGGCTCTCTCGAAAGCGTTTGCTTGGACGGCACACTAGCAATGAGTTGAGGTTTTGCATTCCGGGTAAAGTGTTCTCTCGAAGAATGTCATGTACTTGGTCCCTTGTCACGTGCCATGTCTTGGTTGGCTTGCTGCTTGCTTTCGACTCGCCCTACCCATCCTGCATGCCCCAGCTCCGTGGTCTTACAGACCGCGCTCCAGTCGGGCTCGGACCCGAGTTATGGGTCCTTGACCGTGCGGGACAGTGTCGTTGGCCGGCGCTGGGGATTTATTCTGTGCTCGCCTAGCAAAGTGGTGTGCCCACGGCAGGTGATTCAGCGCAGATTGCAGGGAAGGCCCGACTACTAAATACTATGCCACGTACCCGCGCCCGCGGGCAAAGTCTTGAAGCACTTTGCCCATCGCTGGAAGTTGCCCGCGTGGCCCTGCATGGCATCTTATGTCACACCAACCTTACCAACAAGTCGCGGTGTGTCCAGTTTTGATTCACCAGCCGCGCTTGCATGCCGATGGCCGGGCATGGGGTCGCTCTGGCGGACCGCGGAAGAAGGAACCGATCGAGGACTTGGGGCCAACCACCAGAGCGGACACCTGGTGATGACAGCCAGTCACACATATGCCAACGTGCTGGCTGGGTCCGAGCTCGGCACCCGAGTGTCCACCTCAGCAACATGGGAGGCCAAATATCGAGCAGTAGTACAGTAATTAGAGTGTCAGTCGAACCTCCTCGGGGTTGCCTTACCTAAGGAGTAAACCCCTGCCCCATCGGGGTTGCTCCCCACACCATTGGCCAGGTGTGAGGCGTTCGGTTTGCCTGTGTCACAGCCTTGAGGCCAACCTATCCCAGGGGCAGGGGATAGATGACAGCCGGGCACATGGGCTAATGCGCCGGCTGGGGCCTGACCTGGTGACATCGAAGCAGTCATGCAAGTCACCGGAAGCAATACCGGACAAAGAAGGGAGGCCGTTCTTGGGACATGGCTGTGTTGTTGAGCTGGTGTGTTCCTCCGTCTCATTCATGCCTGTTATCACAGAGAACCTTGCTGTTGGGTTGTCTTTGTCGAAGGCAGAGTGCCAACATGTTCAGAATGGGGTTTGGTGTATGTTGCTCTACCAAGCGGCAGCTGCATGCCCGCCAGTTTTGGCAGCTACACTGAGCACATCTGGCGGTTTCAGCTGGGGGAAACAAGCACAAGTCTAGAAAAGTGTTTGAAGTTCTCCGCAGATACAACGAAGAATTTCGAATAATAAACCTCGGTGTTCCATTTTGGCAGGTCCTCGAGCCGTGCCAGGAAGCTTAAACCATGAGCCCTAAACTTCCCTAAACCGTGTTTAAGCTTCAAATTGAAACCCACAATCTTCCAAATAATTTGAGTGTCCACCTCAGCAACATGGGAGGCCAAATATCGAGCAGTAGTACAGTAATTAGAGTGTCAGTCGAACCTCCTCGGGGTTGCCTTACCTAAGGAGTAAACCCCTGCCCCATCGGGGTTGCTCCCCACACCATTGGCCAGGTGTGAGGCGTTCGGTTTGCCTGTGTCACAGCCTTGAGGCCAACCTATCCCAGGGGCAGGGGATAGATGACAGCCGGGCACATGGGCTAATGCGCCGGCTGGGGCCTGACCTGGTGACATCGAAGCAGTCATGCAAGTCACCGGAAGCAATACCGGACAAAGAAGGGAGGCCGTTCTTGGGACATGGCTGTGTTGTTGAGCTGGTGTGTTCCTCCGTCTCATTCATGCCTGTTATCACAGAGAACCTTGCTGTTGGGTTGTCTTTGTCGAAGGCAGAGTGCCAACATGTTCAGAATGGGGTTTGGTGTATGTTGCTCTACCAAGCGGCAGCTGCATGCCCGCCAGTTTTGGCAGCTACACTGAGCACATCTGGCGGTTTCAGCTGGGGGAAACAAGCACAAGTCTAGAAAAGTGTTTGAAGTTCTCCGCAGATACAACGAAGAATTTCGAATAATAAACCTCGGTGTTCCATTTTGGCAGGTCCTCGAGCCGTGCCAGGAAGCTTAAACCATGAGCCCTAAACTTCCCTAAACCGTGTTTAAGCTTCAAATTGAAACCCACAATCTTCCAAATAATTTGAGTGTCCACCTCAGCAACATGGGAGGCCAAATATCGAGCAGTAGTACAGTAATTAGAGTGTCAGTCGAACCTCCTCGGGGTTGCCTTACCTAAGGAGTAAACCCCTGCCCCATCGGGGTTGCTCCCCACACCATTGGCCAGGTGTGAGGCGTTCGGTTTGCCTGTGTCACAGCCTTGAGGCCAACCTATCCCAGGGGCAGGGGATAGATGACAGCCGGGCACATGGGCTAATGCGCCGGCTGGGGCCTGACCTGGTGACATCGAAGCAGTCATGCAAGTCACCGGAAGCAATACCGGACAAAGAAGGGAGGCCGTTCTTGGGACATGGCTGTGTTGTTGAGCTGGTGTGTTCCTCCGTCTCATTCATGCCTGTTATCACAGAGAACCTTGCTGTTGGGTTGTCTTTGTCGAAGGCAGAGTGCCAACATGTTCAGAATGGGGTTTGGTGTATGTTGCTCTACCAAGCGGCAGCTGCATGCCCGCCAGTTTTGGCAGCTACACTGAGCACATCTGGCGGTTTCAGCTGGGGGAAACAAGCACAAGTCTAGAAAAGTGTTTGAAGTTCTCCGCAGATACAACGAAGAATTTCGAATAATAAACCTCGGTGTTCCATTTTGGCAGGTCCTCGAGCCGTGCCAGGAAGCTTAAACCATGAGCCCTAAACTTCCCTAAACCGTGTTTAAGCTTCAAATTGAAACCCACAATCTTCCAAATAATTTGAGTGTCCACCTCAGCAACATGGGAGGCCAAATATCGAGCAGTAGTACAGTAATTAGAGTGTCAGTCGAACCTCCTCGGGGTTGCCTTACCTAAGGAGTAAACCCCTGCCCCATCGGGGTTGCTCCCCACACCATTGGCCAGGTGTGAGGCGTTCGGTTTGCCTGTGTCACAGCCTTGAGGCCAACCTATCCCAGGGGCAGGGGATAGATGACAGCCGGGCACATGGGCTAATGCGCCGGCTGGGGCCTGACCTGGTGACATCGAAGCAGTCATGCAAGTCACCGGAAGCAATACCGGACAAAGAAGGGAGGCCGTTCTTGGGACATGGCTGTGTTGTTGAGCTGGTGTGTTCCTCCGTCTCATTCATGCCTGTTATCACAGAGAACCTTGCTGTTGGGTTGTCTTTGTCGAAGGCAGAGTGCCAACATGTTCAGAATGGGGTTTGGTGTATGTTGCTCTACCAAGCGGCAGCTGCATGCCCGCCAGTTTTGGCAGCTACACTGAGCACATCTGGCGGTTTCAGCTGGGGGAAACAAGCACAAGTCTAGAAAAGTGTTTGAAGTTCTCCGCAGATACAACGAAGAATTTCGAATAATAAACCTCGGTGTTCCATTTTGGCAGGTCCTCGAGCCGTGCCAGGAAGCTTAAACCATGAGCCCTAAACTTCCCTAAACCGTGTTTAAGCTTCAAATTGAAACCCACAATCTTCCAAATAATTTGTTTTTCTTCAATAATCTTCTAAATAATTCATTTTTCTTCAACAATCTTCCAAATAATTCGTTTTTCTTCAACAATCTTCCAAATAATTCAACAATCTTCTTAAATCTTCGGTGGTGGCTGAGAAGTACCCCTGCTGAGAAATACCCGAAAGGCTCATGAATGATCTAAGGTTTCCAAATGCGGTCGCGCAGCACCTGCCGGTAACCGGCCACAATTCTTATCTGCTAGTTTCTCAAAGTTGGGGGTCCATATATGTATATAGACCACCCAATACAGCAATGTCAGCATTAGATTAGGGGAATGGGGGCCCTTAATTTTGGAACCCCAGTCTTGCTGTCGATTCAAGCACGCCAAAGCGCTTGGTGCACGTCAACGCAGCTAAGGTGCGTGATTACACTCAATTTCGGGCTTCTTGCCATGGAGTGTACCAAGAATTGCACGCAAAGGCTGGCGCCCAAGATCGCTGGCAGCTGTGTTATCACGATGATCTGCAGTGCACAAGTCGCTGGGCCTTGTCACTGTGCTAAGCTTGTCGGTTCTGGATTCCAGGCTTTTCTGCAGCACCTCACTCACCTGATGAACGCAAGGCACGACATTGTATCAATAATCATCCCCTGACTTTTAGCTTGAGAAATGCAGGAGCATGTAGTGATGCACAGTGCACGTCTTGAGGCCAGGTGTTGTTGTGGTGGCTGGTGAGTCGCGCAAGATCTCAGAGGAAGACAGAGCGTCTTTCTGGCGAAGCAAAGGCGAAGACTCCCACATCTTGCAAGAAGGTGTCACAGGCGTGTGGCTTGTGGCTTGATACGGTTTGATTCTTTGGATCTGTTAAGCCTAGAACCTTGAAGCCCCAATGGGCCCCTGCCCTCATGCGACGCAGGGCTGTGGACCATCCTCCGAAGCGCCAATAAATGGCGAAAAACCTGGCCAGAGCTCTTCGTTTCTTTTCCTGCATGGTTGCGCCGGTACTGCTACGGCACTGATTACGACACAGTTGGCAAGCATGCCCAGCACGCGCTGGCCGCTTGTGCGAGATACCTTTTTGCGAATGGCGCCACAAAGGATGTGAGGCACCTCTTCGTCAAGGATGCTATCCATTTGCTGCGAAACGGACGGGATGAGATTCGCATTGAAATCTGCGGTGCCTTGTCGCACTGCAGGCCAGATTTGCTCGGTAGATTCAACTACGCATGTGCAGCGGCCTCGCTGGAAGCATGTGAGCGCCAACGCCGTGGACTCTGTCGCCAAATTGCCTTCCTGGCATTAGTAAGGTTCGCAAGATATGATTTCAGTCTGCACAAGCCTATGCGGGAGAAGCTCTGGGAGCTATTCAAGTCTGCGCCGGAGCTGATGTTCGACACTGTGGGCATCCTACTGCTGGAGCTGACAGTTGTCGATACCGTCGTTGCCCTGACATGCTACTGAGCCGACAAGGCCTGGCAGACATCAACGTTTCGTACATGTACAAGCCCGTCCTCTGCATGTGAGATTTATAAATCGGCGACGTGGCTGCAACGTCGACGGTCAAGAAGATCTAGTCCGAGATCACCAGCATGCTCTGCACACAACAGTGAGTGGCAGCAGCAAGTGCGAGAAGTGAAGCGACCTGCCCAAAGCCACCGACAAAGCTAGGGGCTTGCAAAAGCTGCTCAGTGAACGTGCCATGTCACCACCTGAGACGACTCCGAAGAAGAGTCCAGACCCAGCAGATCAGATGCTATTGCAAGGTTGGTAGCTAACCTGCCGGAACCCAAAACCCTCAACCCTGAGACCGCGCCAATCTGGTACTAAATCACTTTGCTGCATGTTCCATATGCCCGCAACACCAGGATCGTTGTGGACACCATGCCATATTGTTTTAGTTACCAAGACCTCCCTTCACATGATCCGGGATGGAACTTATCGCGATTTAGCAGTTGGAGGGATTCGATCCACATTGGAATCACTTCGCGTGTCTACAGGATGCAAGTCATGCGTGGCGAACTCCCAGAGCTCTCGAAGACAGTCCCTCAATTTCCTTGGCTCCACAGGTTGCGCATCCTCTGTAGCTGAAGCCGCCCTGCCATGGGCACTTCGAGGCTTCATGGGTTTAGACTTCAGGATCTATGGTTTAAGGCCTGACTCTGGGCGCAAAGCATCTTACGCAGAGCAGGCTGTCGTCGATGTACTATGACTTCGACTGGGAGGAAGCTCCTTTGTCATCCTTCGTTGCCCCGTGCACGGCCAGCTCCAGCCTTTGCAACGCAAGCTGTTGCCAAGTCTTGTGTGTACTTCCAGCGTCCAAAATATTCCAAATCATCCATTCCTACAGCAAGCTTTGCAAGGCATGCAAGTACATCAACATGCGAGCGCGTCCATGCCTGGACAGTTGAGCGAGGTTGCTGCTACCTGCTGATGATTGTTGTGATGCGCCATGTTGCCTGGCACTCGGTTTCTTGATGCATGTTGCATGTTGCTCTAAAACTGTCAGGGTCAATGCCGGACTGGAAATTCCAGATCCAGCTGAGGTCCCAGAGGGTGGATTTGAGCTGCAGACCACCCTGGCCATCCACAACTTTTCCTTGAGCTGATCCCTTAGTCCAGGATTGTCTTGTTCTGCACTTCTACAAATTCCAGCTTCTTTGAGTGGTGGTTTGTGCAGACGATCTGAGGTGTCGTGTCTTTCATCTTGTTCGCTGGTCTTCTCTATGAGGCCACCAAGCGGTATTTCGAGGAGCAGAACGTCGAATGGCTGTCGCTCGGCAACCGAAGTTCTGTGAATGCTTCCTAGGTTTTGAGCTCGAGGGGCATTTTGGGCATGCTGTGAACGCATGGCTGCTTTTTGAACATGGGTGCTGCTGTAGTGGAACTGCCGCTGTATTTGTAGCATGCTGCGCATCTGCCCCTATGCACCACTCCACAGACTGAAGTTGCATGCAGCGTGTGGATCCCTCTAAAGCGGCCCCTGGCTCTCGCCAGGTTCTGTGAACATCCTACGACACGATCCCGAGGTTGAGGCTCTTGTTCTGTCTACCCTGGATGTGCCGCTCGTTTGTCGGGTCATGGGGTGGACAGAGGCCCCATGTTCTTCTGGATGTATTGCTGTTACGCCGGGGACTTGGGTGTGAACACCAACTGGCCTACTGCTCGTGTCTGCAGAACATGTTTGCTCAGTTGCGCAAGTACGTGGAGTTCCTGGATTCATTTTGGGTCCTGCTTCGTCGACGGGAGCTCAGGCCTCAGGACAGTTTCAAGCATCCGAGGAAGGGGTTTTAGGGTTTAAAAGAGTGCTTTCCCCAAACAAATCCTCCGCTTAACTACGGAAAGGCATGAACTAGCAAAAGGAACAGGTAGGTGACTAGAACACGGTTTTGAATTCCAGAACCGGGTCATCTGCTGCCTAACAAGCGAATCCACATGTCTCGAGATGCAAGGCCTCCAAACTTTGGGCTTCAAGTCTACCACCACTTTCTGGTTCCCGCGCTGCACTTAGCCATCCCTTACTGATGGCATGCTTGATTACGGCTCTTGCTAGGCTAGCTGCGGTAAAAAAGTTCTCACGAGAGCTGCGTCGTAGGAAGCAGGAGTCTCAAGCGATCCAATAAGTTCAGACCCTAGGCGCACAGTTGTGTGTGGCTGACATCCCAGGGAATGGTATGGATATGTCTGCAGTCCACTGCGAGCCAACAACAGCTAGGCGGGCCGCAATCTGGAGCCAGCATGTGTGGATACCCTCAGCCCACATGAAGGACTGGCCATCAACTGCCTGGTTCACATTGTCATGTACGCCTACTATGCCCTGAAGGTGCCGGCTTATTCGTAAGAAACAGACGCGAAAGACCGGCGAGATGTTTGCACAGTGCTGGCATGGATGGTAACATGGAAAGGCACTTGGCATTCCAACGTCTTGCGCTCAAAAGCTCCACGTGTTCCGAGATGCGGAGTTGCTGACGCATGTTTGGCGCATGAGGTCTTGGAAGCCTTGGGTCACCAGATGTCAAGTGGCCCAGTTTGTGACGGGCATGCTATGTTTGGTGCCGTTCTTCTTCTTGAAGCAGGCACATCAGCTGACGAGCGTCGTGTTGCTGTTGTCCAGCTAGCTGGGAGCGCAGGTGAAGGGCGCTTGTGCTGGCGAATCAGCTCTTCTTGCAAGATTCTCAAATCCAGGTGAGGTGATAGAGAGTCAGCACTCAGTACTGAGGCGTGTGGAGCAGCGATTGTGTGATTGATTCTCTTAGCATTCGAAGCATTTCTGGAAACTGCATGCAAATTGCATGGAAAACGCTATCCAAAACGACCAAACCCACGAAACATCGCCAAACCGATGCGAAAAGTGATAACACGTTTTTTTTTGACAACCGCGCTGCCGCTGATTCTCTTCGCATCCGAAACATTTTCAGGAAACTGCATGCAAATTGCGCGGAAACTGCCAACCAAAACGACCGAACCCACGAAAAATCGCCAAACCGATACGAGACGTGATAACACGTTTTTTTGACAGCCGCACTGCCGCTGATTCTCTTAGCATTCGAAACATCTTCTGGAAACTGCATGCAAATTGCATGGAAACCGCTAACCAAAACGACCGAACCCACGAAAAATCGCCAAACCGATACGCGACGTGATAACACTTTTTTTTGCCAGCCGCATTGCCGTTGATTCTCTTAGCATTCGAAACACTTGCTCGAAACTGCATGCAAATTGCATGGAAAACGATGCCCAAGACCACGAAGTCTGCGAAACACCGCCAAACGGATAGAACACGTGATAACACGTTTTTTTTGACAGCCGCACTGCCGCTGATTCTCGTAGCATTCGAATCATCTTCTGGAAACTGCATGCAAATTGCATGGAAACCGCTAACCAAAACGACCGAACCCACGAAAAATCGCCAAACCGATACGAGACGTGATAACACGTTTTTTTTGACAGCCGCATTGCCGCTGATTCTCTTAGCATTCGAAACACTTGCTGGAAACTGCATGCAAATTGCATGGACATCGATACCCAAAACCCCGAAGTCTGCGAAACACCGCCAAACGGATAGAACACGTGATAACACGTTTTTTTTGACAACCGCACTGCCGCGTTTTTTTCGCATCCGAAACATTTTCAGGAAACTGCATGCACATTGCATGGACAAGGCTAACCAAAACGACCAAACCCACGAAAAAACGCCAAACGGATAGAACACGTGATAACACGTTTTTTTTTGACAGCCGCACTGCCGCTGATTCTCGTAGCATTCGAAACACTTGCTGGAAACTGCATGCAAGTTGCATGGAAAACGATACCCAAAACCACGAAGTCTGCAAAAAGCTGCCACACGGATACGACACGTGATAGCACTTTCTTTCGACAAGCGCACTGCCGCTGATTCTCTTAGCATCTGAAGCATTTTCAGGAAACTACATGCAAATTGCATGGAAAACGCTAACCAAAACGACCAAACCCACGAAACAACACCAAACGGACACGACACGTGATAACGCTTTTTTTTGACAGCCGCACTGCCGCTGATTCTCTTAGCATTCGAAACACTTGCTGGAAACTGCATGCAAATTGCATGGACATCGATACCCAAAACCCCGAAGTCTGCGAAACACCGCCAAACGGATAGAACACGTGATAACACGTTTTTTTTGACAACCGCACTGCCGCGTTTTTTTCGCATCCGAAACATTTTCAGGAAACTGCATGCACATTGCATGGAAAAGGCTAACCAAAACGACCAAACCCACGAAAAAACGCCAAACGGATAGAACACGTGATAACACGTTTTTTTTTGACAGCCGCACTGCCGCTGATTCTCGTAGCATTCGAAACACTTGCTGGAAACTGCATGCAAGTTGCATGGAAAACGATACCCAAAACCACGAAGTCTGCAAAAAGCTGCCACACGGATACGACACGTGATAGCACTTTCTTTCGACAAGCGCACTGCCGCTGATTCTCTTAGCATCTGAAGCATTTTCAGGAAACTACATGCAAATTGCATGGAAAACGCTAACCAAAACGACCAAACCCACGAAACAACGCCAAACGGACACGACACGTGATAACGCTTTTTTTTGACAGCCGCACTGCCGCTGATTCTCTTAGCATGCGAAGCATGTGCTGGAAACTGCATGCAAATTGCATGGAAAATGCGAACCAAAACGACCACACCCGGGAAAGAACGCCAAACGGATACGACACGTGATAACATTTTCTTTTTGATAGCCCCGCTGCCGCTGATTCTCCGGAGCATTTTCAATTTTTGGAAACGTCTGCAATGTGCACTGGAAAATGCTAACCCCAACCACCAAATCCGCGACTGGCACCACTCTCACTCACGCACTTACTCACTCACTCACCTCACTCACTCGCCTCACTCACCTCACTCACCTCACTCACCTCACTCACCTCACTCACCTCACTCACCTCACTCACCTCACTCACCTCACTCACCTCACTCACCTCACTCGCCTCACTCGCCTCATTCACCTCACTCGCCTCACTCGCCTCATTCACCTCATTCACCTCACGCACCTCACTCACCTCACTCACCTCACTCACCGCACTCGCCTCATTCACCTTACTCACCTCACTCACCTCACTCGCCTCACTCACTCACTCATTCACTTCGCAGGCAGAGTTCACCATCCTTTGGGTCTCAACACACATGCTCTTACTTGCTGGTGCAAGTAAGGACCCAGCAGTCACCTTCATTGCGGACAAAGAACACCTGAGAACTTGCACGAGCGCTAGACTCCTTACTTTCGGGTCTCAACACACATGCTCTTGCCCGAGCTTCTCGCAATTGATCGGTCGCTTCCTGGTGCAAATAAAGACCCTGCAGTCACCTTGGCGCACAAAGGTTTAACACCTGAGAACTTGCACGAGCGCTACCGCTAGACTTCTTGCCATCCTTCGGGTCTCAACACACAGTTTCGGGCAGTCGGTGATGATGTGAGATTTGAGATGCCGAAGCATCAAGGGCTGGCCAGGTATGGAGAGGGTAGTGGTGAGCAGGGAGGGATAGTAGCGGATAGTCATCGTCGTGCAAACTTCTGTCCACCTTTTGACAGTAAGAGTGATGCGTGATTCCAAGGCCTGTTCCGTTGTCAACTTGACTTTTGTGAAGCAGTTCCTGGGCATCCTCTTGGGCATGAGCAAGGCTGATGCTGAGGCTCCCTAGCATGCGCAAACTTGTCTAGGAAACACTTGGTGCTTCAGTGTGAGAAACATGCGGCACGGCTAAGCATTGCATCTTGGCCAAGCTAGCGTTCCGAAGGATACTGCGAACCAGCACCTGCACACGCCAGCTGCTGAGGCAGGGGTGCTGTGCGATTGACGGGGAACCTGGAAGACAGCCGTCGTCTCTGGATATGTTTTTGTTCACAGCAGGCTTAGAATTTGTCGTATGCAGGAACCCAAATCACGAAAGTGGGGCTCGGCTTGAGCTGTGTCATGCTGTAGCAGTATAGTAATGCAGCGAGCTGTTGTTTCTGTGAACCGGGGGGGGATCCAGTGTTCGTCCTGGTCGTCCCCATCCTTCTTATCCTCACCCACACCGTCCTCATCCTTATCCTCGGTCTCATGCTCATGCTCGTCAGCTTTCTCCTCATCATTCCTCCTCATCACAGTCCCAATCTCATCCACATCCGCATGTCGTCCTCATCCTCGTCATTGTGGTCCTCACCTTGGAGCTCGTCCTCATCATCACCAGCATCATCACCACCTCCTCATCAGCTGTCATGTCCTTGATCCCCCCTCCATCACCAATGCTCAGCGCCTGATCATCACAATAGAAACGCTCCGGCATCATGGACATCATCCTCACCGTCGTCATGCTCAGGGGCAGCATCTGTCTGATTGCCAAGCATGTCACGACGCTGGGGAGCCTCGCTTGACTGGGGTCTTGCTTCAGCCGACGGCGGGAATACAGGTTTCTTTGATTCTGCCGCAGGTTGAGCGGGGATACGGGCTGCGGGCCGTCGAGGAATCACAGGAAAAGGTGAACTTGGGTGACCGAGTCGCATCGGCCATGCCAAGACCTCTCAGACGAGGGCATCTACTTACAGATCTGCTCATGGCTCATGGGTCAGTTAACTACTGGACTTGCGCGGTCATCGTGCGAAAAACATCATGCGTGATGGTTGCGTTAAGCTCTTTTTGTGTACTGCTTTCTGGCTTACTGCGCTTGAACGGTCACTACATTTTTCATATGGCTTTTTAATTTGTTTATAGCATTTTTTAACGGGATCGTTTCATCCACTACACTCATTAAGTATTACGAACAAGACCTTCGCTAGCCTTCAGTGCTCTCGGCATCCCTCGGCTTGCCCCTGAGTGATGGTCTCTCTTCTATTAGTCTATGGTCTATATATAGTCGATAGTCTATAGTCTGTAGTTTATAGGTCTATAGACTATAGTGTATAGGTCTATGCCTATAGTCTCTAGTCCATAGTCTATAGGCTTTCTGCCTGGAGGAGCTCCACGCCTTGCAAGTCGAGCGCACCCTCGAGCGAGATGCCGAGTGAGATGGGTTGTTCATCGTTTGCTTTCATACGTTGTCTCTCAGGTGAATGCGCGCACGGCCGATGCACCGGGTCCAAGCAAGCCCAGCCAAAGCAGTATGCGTTGGAGACAAAACAAGCTTCCGGGGCATGAATTCTTGATGACACACACGTGTGGTCCAATGCCGAAATCGATGTTGAAATTCTTTCCGGTCTGCAGTGTTCACACCAGTTGTGTTTCAATATGTCGGTGATGTCATTCAGCATTCAACCCGAAATGCAAGACGAGGTTCTCATGATGACAGCGGTAACCATTGACAGTTCGCTCCTGCGCTGCATAAGACTTCGTGTTTGGGCCATGTTTTTGGCATGCGACATGCCGAAATCATTGCGTTTCCAAGAACGTCTCTAGATGCCCCTCGGCGCATGCTCGTCACAGAGGCCCGACTTGTCGTCACATAGGTATTTGGCTCCAGTTCGGTCCGCCGGAACTTGAAGCAGCCATGGCGCCTAAGGCGGCGGCCTTCGGAGTTTTGCTGCTGAGTGCGGCCGCAGCTGATTCGGGATGGAGTGCGTTGAGCCAGCCAACCTTCGGTCGCCGGACACAAGCCTTGCCGGATGGTTTCGAAATTAATGAGACGATGAACGGCAGTATCCCGATCACGGTCATCCCGTCTTGGGACATATTCCTCGGCTTCAGTTTGAAAACCATCGAGGGTCGGATGTCCCTCAACATTGTGTATGGCGAGGAAGCCGAAAATTTCGTTGAGCATCCAGAGAACATGGTGGATGTTGTCAATTTCGGTTCGGGCTCTGGGGACATCAATGAATCAACGTCCTCAGCAAGGTACGCTTGTGGGATCCTCAGACCACGAAGACGGCCTCCAGTATCAGCAAGATTTATGCTGGCGATTTTTCTCAATCGCTTTATCCGTATGTTTCTCGGTCAGTACGTTCAGCACTGTAGACAATTTTTTTGTGAGCATCTCATTGGGCTGTTTTTGATTCACATTCACTGCACTCGATGGTGATGGATTATGATTGGTCGCCTCAGGACATGATGTGTTATCCCTTCGACATCAAGACCGTGCATTTCCAGATTAGCCTTCAGAACCCGTGTGGCATCTTCTATCGCCTCGAACTAGGGTGTGTCGGGGAGAACAGTTGGAAGCAGGCTGTGGATGACGAAGACGGCACGGTCCGCAAGTGCTCTTGGCCCATCAACGGTTCTTTCGGAACCTTCGATTGGCAGAACTTCACTTGCACTTTGCGGGACAGTGTGACGATCGAGTGTGCCATGACGGGGACGAGGCAGTGGCCCGCACTACTGAAGACTTACATGTGGCCATCGGTCGTCTACGGCGTGATGGGCTTTATGTCCTTCAGTTTGGGTGTGAAGCTGTCAATGCCCCGTGTTGCCACAACCATGCTGGCCTTGTTGTCACTGACGAATCTGCGGAATCAGGTCATCGCTTTGTTGCCACTTTCTCAAAAGACGAGCTGGTTAGAGGACGCCCTGCGTTCTTTCATGTCGTGTGACGATTTCCGTTCTTTGGTGTACGAGGGTTTATATGGTTGCTTTGCACTGGGTCACCAGGCAGAATGTCCCGAGCCCAGGAGTACTTCTTGATTGCGATTTCCTTCATGTTCCTCAACCTGCTCGGGCATGCTGCATCCTTTCACCGCCATCACACGCAGAGAATGGTGAACAAGTTCAATCTTTGGGGCGTGTTCTCGGTGTTCGTGCTTGTCGTCGTGGCACGGCTGCATATCCGGGAATGCCCTCTAATCGATCCTGCCATGTCCGTGGCCATCACCTATGCAGCAGCAGCAGCGTGCATCTCGATCATCGCCTTCCTCGTCTGGTACCACCGCGAGGCGCATTCGGAGTTCACAGCGTGCCTGTGGCTGTGCCAGTTGGGCTCCACCGCCCAACTCAGCGTACTCGACTCGCTAAGGCACGACGGGAAGGCTTGGTGCCCCTGCAGCGCCTCGCCGGAGGCGTTAACGACCCAAGAGCTCCACAAGGAAGGACCGTCCTTCTCAGACGTTTCCACCGGAAGCTCAAGGTCGCCCCCAGTCCAGACCTTGGCCTTGATCCTACCGTACACCGTAGGCAGAAGCCCCTCGACGGGCTTCTGGAGGAAACTCCTAGCCCAAGCCCGAATGAGATCCGTCTCGATATCGACGAGCCGTTCGCGAGGCTAGACGCCAGAAGGGCGTTCACTTCTAGTGACACGCTCGGGTCCGAAGACCCCGGGCCCTCAGCGGCCTCCTTCTCAGCCTGAGCCTCTGCGATCTCGAGGGCTGTCTCCAGGGCATCTGGAGAACAGGTAAGTCCTTTTCCATCTTTTCCCACAGGCGCAAACCCCTTCGTGGTCCCAGAGTTCCCGCGCTGGCGCGTCAACGAGACCACGCAGAGAAACGTCTGCGACTCTAGAAATTCCGTCCAACTTGACGGACGAAAGGACCTCAGCGGAAGCGGCAATCTTGCCCACTATCCCGTATCCAGGTATAGGGGGCTCCGGAAACTCACGTCCCATCTCTGGGCACGCGTCCGCCACCTCATCATGGCACGAATGCGCCTTCCAAACCTTGGGCTTAAGGCACCGGATGCCTTTGATACGTGCCCAGGCAAGGCCCGCGGAGCGGGCCTCCTTGCGCTGCAGGTTCCGCGCCTGGAGGGTGACCTCAACCACCAAGGGCCACCGCAAGGCAGCGGTAACCACTCCTCCCTGCCCAAGACCTACCAGGAAGGTAGGGGAAAACGCCGCAGCCTCGCGGAGGACCTTCGCACACGAAGTGAGCAGATCAACGCGAAGCTTCTTCACCTTCTTGGGCCCGGTAAGCTTACCGGTCATACCATCGAAGTGGGATGAAGTGGGACGCGACACCGTCGTCATCTTCGAACGGACCCCAACACCCTCTCACAGCAACAGAGTGGCCGGGGATACCCGACACGAAGACCTCACGGATCTCCGAAAGCGCCTTCTCCTGGTCCTTCCAAGGAGCATAATCAAAAACGATCATGACGCGGACCGGGGGTGGACCCGCCACTCCTACCGGCACCGCTGCGGCGGTCGCCGGAGCAACCTGCCCAGCGGAGTCCGGAACAGCGTCCTCCCCTACCGCCCAGGGAACGGGACCGTCGCCTTCGGTCCCTTCTCCGAGGTAGGTCATCCCGACCAAGTCCTTGGTCCGGGCGGCCAGGAGCTCGTCTCTGCCCTTCGGGTTCCTAGAGAAGGAGTCTCCCAACGTCGCACTGCGACCGCTGAGGCTCCTAATCTAATCTCTGAGCCGTCCATAAGGATCTCAGCCACCCACCGGACCAGCTTTTGATCCGATCCTATGTCGGACGATTGCGCCCTCGTAAGGTTCGCGTGATCGGTCCAGCATAGCGTCCGGATGGTGCCAAAAACCTTGCGCGTCGCCCTTTTAACCTCAAGCTGCGCAAACGCCTCCTGTATCAGAGGAGGCCAGTTCTGCTGAGCCGGTGTAAGGCTCTTCGAGTGCGTCATGAGCACCTTGATCCTTGACAGATCTCGGCTCATCTGCACGACAGAGCCGCCGACTGCGATCCCACTGGCATCAGCTATTTGCTCCAGCGGACAGGAGCCATCAGCAGCTGACGCCTCATCAAAGGCCGCCAGGCTGATGTGGTGGCTCATCATCTTCTTGATAACCTTGAAGGCCTTACAGCCTTCAGTGGTGCCTGATCCCAGGCCACCTTCCGGAAATTCCGCTCCTGGTTTCTGCCATTGTGTTAAACATCCTGCCAGGAACAGTAACACCGCTAATGCAGTGTAGTTAATGTAAAGGAGCAGCCGTCACGCGACGTGCAGGCTCGAGACTACCAGGACACACTCCGCAGAGCAGGAAAAGTGTCCGCCTTTCAGAGTGAGTAGGGAAGCTTAGTGAAGCCCGTTCTTTAACATGGTAGCGGAGCTGCCTCCAGGAACCTCCTTGGCAGCGATGATGCTACTTGTAGCAATAGGAACCATGATGCTCGTCGCCATGGCAGTTTGCCTCGTTGCTGGATGGAAGCAGATGCGCGCAAATGAGCAAGTGACCAAGAAGACAGAGACAGTGTTGACTATGCCCACGCTCAGGATCGCAGTCCGTTCAGGAACCAAGTACCACCGCAGAGGTTGTGGACACCTTCGGAACCACAACGTGACAGCAGGAAACGCTCGAGACTTCGACGCGTGCTCAGACTGCTACCCCGACAGAGTGCTGGTGGAACAGAAGGAGTACAGGAACGTGAAGTGCTACGGTCTGGCAGCGCAGGCCCTTGGCAACAGCGAGAAGGTCAAGGAAGAACTTGCCCTTGGAGATGGCGTATCCTCCAGGGATGCGAGCCGTGGGAGAAAGGAACTTACGTACGTGGAGAGCGACGAGAGCGAGCTCATGGCCGTGTGGGCGAGCAGAACAAGGAAGCCCAACACGCACCGGAACCGCTACAGGAACTACGACGTGTACGGCGAGTACTACCAGGAAGGCTACAACGAGTGCAGCGTGAACCTTGACGGCACCAACGTGAACACGATCAGGAACACGAACGCGTACACGATCAAGGACTACGTGGAGATAGGAAAAGTCATGGTACCGTACGCTTTGCTGTGTGCGAACCAAGTGCTGAACGAGCTCTACAGCGTCGTTGGCGTGACCGGCGAGTACTACACGGAAGAGCACAGGAACGGCGACCAGAACACCGAGAACCAGGAGAGTGAGAGCCTTGAGTCAGGCTACGCCCCTAGGTACGTACCTAGTAAAACAACAGCGAGAAGTACTGAGAAAGCTTGTACAGGAACATGTTCAGAGTTTCGTAGAAAAGCTAGCAACTGCAGGAAAGAAGTTTCACGACGTCGTGCATGTGATAGTTCAGGAAGTCATTTCCAACAGAGTTGTATTTCAAGGAATTCGCATAGCAGTGTTCTTAGGAACCCCAATGGGACTGATTACTTGGATCACCCTGTCGTACTATTCTAGTTTGTTTTTCACAAGAGCAAGCAGAAGCTCAAAGCACCAAACGAAAACAAGAGGAGAAAGGAGAGCACAAGCAGTGAACAGGAAGCAGTGCAAGTCACTACTTTTAGCAGCACTAGTGTACAGCAACCTTGAAGCAGCAAAAGGAATGGAGGATGCATTGAAAGCGCTTGCAGAGATCAATGCACAGACCTTACAAGGAATACAGACACTAGCAGAGGAGATCAGGAACTCAACAGCTTCAGGAAGCCAAAGAGAAGCAGGACTTACACAAGCGTTTCAGGAAACACTTACAGCAGTGCAGGAACAACAGAAGGCAGCGCAGACAGCGTTAGCAGACGCTCACACAAACGCAGCAACTACACTTGAGGAGATAGGAGCATCTCTGGAGAAAGCAGTAAAGGAACAAAGAAAGCCTGGAGAAGTGGAGTTGCACAAGTTGACCAAAAGCCCTCAAGCGTTTTCCCCAGGAACATGGCAGGAAGAGAAGAGTGGCTGGACAGAGTTCAGGAACAGGATGCGGATCTGGCTTGGAGCAGTGGATTCCAATATGGTGAAGATCATGGACATCATGGACATCGTCGAAAGGAATTTGAAAGACGATAAGATGATAAAGATGAGCAGAAAGGGAAACCAGGTAGGCCCCCGCATTCGTGTTTCAAGTGTCATAAAGCCTGTCTTGTCTACTCTCATCCTTGCATACCTGCCGGTATGATTACAGAAACACTGTTTTAAAACATCCGCTTTGTTTTAAAGCAGTCCTGTCTTCCTGCCGGACATACGACCATCGAGGCACAATAGTAATCTCCACAAACCAAAAGAACCAAAAGAACTAAAAAAACTAAAAAAACCAAAAAAACCAAAAAAACCAAACAAACCAAAAAAACCAAAAACCAAAAAAACCAAAAATCTGGGGGACTAGTATCCTGGAGAATTGGTTTTTTTGGTTTTTGGTTTTTTTGTTTTTTTTGGTTTTTTTGGTTTTTTTGGTTTCTGCTGCAGGTACCGCGCTCAGTGTTGCCAGTGCCGCCTTACTCCTTGGCCGCACATATTCCGGGTTACTTTTCTTTGTCTGTGCGTGTGAAAGCCAACACATGCAGCGTGAAACACACTGTATCGTACTCTATGTGTGTATGCGTGCCTGGTACACTCCCAGAAATCGGTTGGACACCACGCCGTGCTGTCGAGTAAGCTCGCACTGGTACACGGCTGTACAAATGTATTCCTGCATAACGCTGGAACGTTGGAAAGAGAAAAAAGGCTTCTGGTGCCGATGATGCCTGCCTGCAGCCTGCGACCCTGGTGCTCATGATGTTTGACTGTGATCCGTCATTTCCATGTCAAACTCGCCGTATTGAATTGCTAGCAAAGTTGCTTTCTCGAAGTCTGCAGTTCTCGTGTAGTTAGCTTTCCCTCTAGTCCTCGCCATGGCCGGTGAAGATCTTTCTTTCGACGATCTCCAGAAGACCGTTGAACCATTGGTGTGTAAGAATCTGACTACACCTGCCATCCTGAAGTTGCCCCTCGGCTTGTTCACCCCGGCTGCACTACCGTTGCAGGAAATGTCGTCCACGGACAACCCTAGCGTCAACCTCTTTGACATCATCACAGACTACCGGGGGACTATTGATGTCAACGATCTGACGAAGGCATACAAAACCGCTGTCTTGAACTCCGATTTGTCTTCGCTACCGGAGCCCTTTGGGTTTCGCGGTATTCTTGCTCGCAACACCAAGCTTCAGTTGTTCGTGTGCGAGTGTCCAGATGGCTCCAACATTATCGTCAAGCATTTCACGTGTCCGGACAAGTGCAAGCCCTCTGTCTTCTTGGCAGGAGCAAGTGGCAAGGCTTACATCTACCGTTGGCGAGCCACCCATGCCAAGGTCGGAAAGAAAATCCTTCAGTATACTTTGGAAAGCCTTGGCGGTCAGCAGTTCAAAATGTTCGAGATGCAATCCTTCTGCGCCCCCAAAGCCTCCACCAACAGATTCGAGGATAAGACGGATGAAGAAATCGATGCCGGTTTCGACTTCATTGTCCATGATGCACCGCGCTCCTCTTCAGAAATGCAGCAGCTTCGGTGGATGACAAAAACCCTCAAAAATCCACAATCGCCTATCTTCAACTGGCCCGGTGCACTTGTTGAGAAGGCGCTCCGGAACCTGAGCCAAGATGGCTCACTCGCCAAGAAGGAGATGGACTGGCCCATCCCCCTTACGTCCACCTATTACCATGGATGGGTCTTGGAGCTTCTGGAGAAGGTGTGGGATTTCGACACGTCCGCCCTCGTGATGTTGGGTGAGGCGGGTGCGGGCAAGTCACCACTGGGTCGCAGCATCTTGATGGCACAGGCCCGGTTTAACAAGGCGCACTTTGGTGCCCGCACCACCGTGTGCATTCGCTGTACGCCTGAAATTGATTTTCTCAGAGGAGAGCAAGGTAATATCACAATGGGTGACTTTCTGGATGACACATGTCTCAGCATCCTCTCTTCCAAAATGCTGAAGTCTCTGTTGGACGTGGGGCTCTACGAGGCCATGGCATGGGCTCGTTGGGGAGCTGTCAAGTGGGTACAGAATCAGCCACGAGCGGTGGCCGACAATACCTACGAGCCCATGGAACTTCCCGACGAATTCGATTTCGTCTCATCCATCTCTTTCGACAAGTTCGCGAAGTGTATCCGTCCAGCCTTCAATTCCGAAGTTTCGAAGGCACATATGGACGCTATCTTCAAGCGCACTGTCTTCCTGGTGAACAGTCCCACACATGTCTACTTCCGCAAGGCCGGCATCAACGAGGATCCTGTCCCCCGTGTAAACATAGAGCGCCCTGAATATCTCACCGAAAAGGGGCGCACCCTCTACGGCACCTTCAAGGACGGCACCCGGGCCTTCCCCCCCGACCATGCCGCACAGGTTCGTCGTGAACAAGACTGGGTGACCAAGGTTATGGAGAAGCGCTTCGATGAGAGGCGTCCCGACTACAAAGCTCGACAGGCCATCCGTCGTGGTCTCTGGGGTCCAGAACCTGCATCATCCCGCTCCCGGCCCATCTATCGTCAGGTTGATGATCTTCACAAGTCATCTACAAGGGATGCGGTCGCCGCTGCCCCCATCATCAAACGCGAGCGGGTGGAGCAAGAGGAAGCCAGCAAGAAGGCAAAGATTTGGGCCTTGGAGTTGAAAGCTTCCAACAGCGCCATCGATCTCGACTCCCCCGACCGCACGAAGGCAGCTCTCCCGTCTACCGCCGTGCCCAACCCCGAGAACATGATCAGTGACGACATGGATGTTGTCACTGAGGATGAGGCGGATGTCCTGGGCAATGGCTTCGACCTCGGTGAGCACGACAACTGAGCTTTGCTGAGGTATCGCGTAGTTTTGTCACTGCCGTCATGCTATGCCCTGGCCCTCTCTTCAAAAGAAGACCGTCTAGAATAAATCGGTAATGCTCATGATGGCAAAACATTGCTCCGTAGCCGCGTAGTCGCACATGATGGGGGCCCGACAAATTTTGGTAGACCGCATCCTCAGTCAGACCCTGCTTCCTGCGTGCGTGCACATAGGGCAAAAGGACGTCCTTGTCTGCATGTCTGCTGTCTCGCTCGTGCCTGGCCTCATCAAATGTTGCATATACAGCCGTGTCCAAACATCGCGTGTTGTAGTCGAACTAGCCGCCCGCTGTACTTCTTGCTTCAGCCATGGTGAAGGTCGCACGTGCTTTTCCTCGCCGCACGTGTCCTAGTTGCTCTGGGTCACTCGTCAAGACCATCACTGGCCCTCGCGACGTCAGCAAGGGCGTCCTCATCGGGAGTGAATCTTTATCCAAGACGAGCACTCGTGTCAGTCGTTGTGTCCGAAAGGGCTGTCGGGTTTACGTTCGTCACAACTACATGCGGATCGCCGGAGAAAAGATCAACGTTCTCTCCTTCAATCAAATGAAAGCAGCTGGTGTGTATTTCGTGACCACCAAGAGCATTCACCATGTCCTACCTCGAACTTTGCTATCTTCGTCTTCTTCGCGCGAAAACATCCCCAGGACAGGAGGCTGCGGTCCGAGTTCTTCTTCATCAAGGACATGACGATCTTCCAGATCATCGAACCTTCCGTGATTGCCTTTTGCGTGCTCTCGAGGCTTATGCTGTGGCGAAGCGAACACCTGACCAGGTTGTCTCCTTCAACGTCGACTATCCGGCCAAGGAGGTAGTCCGACTTAGCCGCAGTCAGCCTTTGCTTTTCCATCCCATGAACGGCGTGCGAGAGGTGGCCATGGATGGGAATTTCGGCTTGCATCGTCATCTTCTTCCAGGTGTCGACCCTCCCCGGACCAAGCAATTGCCAGGACGACCACGGAAAGCTCTTCGTGAGGATGAGCGATCGTGTAGCTGTGCCAGAAAGGATTCTCTCCACTTGGCACTGCCACAGCGGACTGCGGGATGGCAGTTCGCAGTGGACCCTTCGTCCAGAAAGGTCTTGGCGGCTTTGGAGCACAAAGCCAGTGAGTCTCATGGAGACAAGGTTCGCTTGTTGCATGGACTTTTTGCAGATCCGCAATGTGTTCCTGACGTCCTGATCCATGACGACGCGTGTCACTTGGAGGCCTATGTCCGGAAGCATCATCCTGACAGTTTCCCTAGTGTCAAACACTTCATAGTGGATGCCTTTCACCGCCGCAACCACAAATGCAGCAAGCGGGAATTGACCGTGTCGCAGAAGCGACGCTGCAACAGGGTCCGGACAAACATGTCCGAAAGCTTCAATGCTTGGATCCGCGCCCTGAATTTTTTCGTCAATTCGCTTCGGCCCCACAGCCATGCATTCTGGATTGAGGAAGCCTGCCTGTTTTATAACACGAATCTTGCTCCTCTGCCCACATTCGTAGCACGACCGCGGGGACGCCGCAATGTCAAGGCTCGCATGATGAAGAAGCCTGCCGCCATTCGCAAGCGGCCAAGCAGCCGTAGGTAGGAGCTACCGTGTTTGGAACGCCGGCAAGACTGCCAAATTTTGATGTTCTGGACTGCTGCGAGAACCCCGAGAGAGCTCATGATGCGATCACGCGGAAAACCACGGTGTGTGCGTGCATGCCCTACATGCTAGCATGTGTATCATGAAGTCTGCACGGTTACGTACCTTTGAACATGTACCTTTCCACGTGTGCACTTCTGCAGCTCAAGTGTTTCAGTACTGAGTCGTCTGCTTGCTCCTATGGCCTCGCTCCCGGTCGTTGGACATGTGCGTTCGGCTGGTCGTGGTAAGGTGCTGCTAGAACTGCAGCCAGTGCAGGAGCCTTCCACCAGCTCCTCTACCCAGACGAAGCCACCGAATGCTAAGCAGCTGCTCCGTGATATTCAAAGTAAAGTACAGTTTGTGGATCCCTCCAGAGAGAATCTCACAACGCGAGCCCTGCAGATGCAGATTAGCAACATACAGCGACAGCTCCGTCTTGAGACTTCCGCTACGGGTGGATGGTCTGCAAAAGCTACGGTGTTGTTAAACAACTGGTTGGCCAAGCCATGTCGTAGCAGAGCTGCAAGTACACTCGCCATCGCAGACACCAGCGTGAAAGCAGATGAAACCCCAAAGAGTTCGGCTCCGCGATCGCGTTCCTCATCGTCATCATCATCAACCTCTCCTGAGCCGGTCAAAGTCCAGCACAGGCGTAAGCGTGCACGCACGAGGTCTCCTGTTGCGCTGCTTGAACATATCGTAGAACTAGAGGCTGTCATAGGCCGAGCTCAGGACGTAGAAGAGCAGAATGCTTTGCTCAGCCATGAAGTAGACCGCCTCAAAGGCATTCTTGAATCACGAGGTCTAGGGCACCTGGTGTAGTAGCATGTCAACTTCTCTGCGTTTGTTTCACCAAGGGAGCGAAGGGGAGCGAGTTCCATGTCACTTGAAACAGCCAAGAGGGGGCCTACCGGGTTTCCCCTTCCCCAGAAAGGTGACATGTCTTCAGAAGCAAAGGAAGCTAGCCGCCGCCTGTACAGTGTTCTTTGTTCATATACCAAAGGAAGGCCTTACCGTGTTGTAAAGCACGTTGGAGAGGAAAACGGCATGGAAGCCTACCGTATGTTGATGAAGGAATATCAACCAACGAATCGTGCAAGATCGTTGGAACTGTTTCACAACATCCTCAACTACAGGTTTGCTCACAACAAAGGAGTTGCTGAGAACATCCTCGAATATGAGGAACACATCGAGAAGTACGAGAAGGCGACAGGAGAAAAGGTACAAGAGAAGTTGAAAGTATCTACTCTTATCCAAGGAATGAAGCCTGATGTTAAAAGGCACCTGTTGCTCAACCTTGACGAGAAGACACAGTACACAGCTTTTCGTCAGTACCTTGTGAACTACGAGTCAACAGAGCGTTGGACTAACTCTTTGTCAGCCCAGCAAGGAACACCTCACCGAACTACAACAGACTTGATCGACAAAGGTGATGACCATGGTGGTCTTAAGATTGCAGCAATGGACATCAATCAAGCATGGTATAAAGGTAAGAAAGGCTATGGCAAAGGTTATGTTCATAACAAAGGCAAAGGCAAAGGAAAAGGCAAGAAAGGTGGAAAAGACTTCGGAAAAGGTTTCGGATTCGACGGTAAAGGCAAAGGTAAAGGAAAAGGTTTCGGAGGTTTTGGCAAAGGCAGAGGTCCAGGCAACTGGAGAGGTCGAGGTAGAGGTTTCAGAGGCTACAAAGGAAAAGGTAAAGGCCGAGGAAAAGGATTCTACAAACACAAAAGCAAACGCAAGGGAAAAGCCCAAGCAGCTACAGGAGTTTGTCACTACTGTCACAAGTACGGACATTTCGAAGCGCAGTGTAGACAGAAGCAGCGTGACATGGGTTACCAAGCAAGGAACGTAGACCTCGAGAACCAAAGTGAACAGGCAAGCGCCACCGGTACCTCTACTCAGGCCCCTTCGTCAAGCAACAAGACCTCAACAAGCCAGAGCCAAGCAAGCCAAGGAACACAAAGACCAGTGATTAGGATGGTCTCCATGTATCACATGGGAGACGAGCCCACAAGCTTTCCGGAGGAATTCGAGATGAGTGAAAATTCAGAGGAAATTGAGATTGAGTACTTCGGAAGAGTTTTGCGGGTTGTTGGTGAAGAAGTTCAGGAAGAGAGAAGTGAGACAGAAGAGTTTTGGATTGGTGATGAAGATGATGAGTTTCAGGACTGTGATGAGGTGAGTGATGATGCATGGAGGCAGTGGCATTTAGCAGGAACCCCAGTAGGAACGCAAGATCGTGGATACTACTACGAATGCCCCAACGGATGTCATGAAACACCTTGGCACCCGAACATGCAGGAATGCGAGTATGGATGTCACCATCCTCCCAGGAGGAACAGAGTTGAAGGAACAGCACCTTCAAGGACAAGCGTCAGGTTTGTTCGTGCAGCAAGGAACTCAAGGACTCGAGAAATCGAGGTAGTGCTGGATTCTGGAGCCGACATCTCGTTGGCACCAATGTGGATGAAGAAGTACGGAAGGAAAGCACCCAACACTACTAAAGTGGTTTTGCGAGACGCACAAGGATCTCGTATCAATCATTGAGGTTGAGTTTCGAGACGTTCAAGGAAATATCGTGAAGGTTGAAGAAATGTTCTTGATTTCATCGGTCGTGCACCCTCTTTTAGCAGTAGGTAAACTGTTGAAGAAAGGTTGGGAGTTCAGAGACGGAACAGCTATAATACAGGCACTTTCCTCACAGAAGGAACAACCAAGATCGCGGTGAACTACAACAACAAATCACTTACGACAAAAGCCTTGGTGAGAGCAGTCAACTGGGAAGCAGAAGCCAAGCCATCCCCATATACTTGTGCGAAAACCTGAAGGAACTCATTGAAGAGCAACGTGTTGGTTGGACCAATTGGAGAGACCCTTACCAAGCCCACTACAGCCTAGGAACTTCAGAGCACGTTGACACTTACTTGATGTTTCCACCAGGAAAGTTTGCCTACAGAGCCGTACTCATTGAGGATGATGATCAGTGGTATCTGTTGCATCACAGCATCATGTTTGAGGAACTTGAAGAACCATTTGGAACAATCTTTGATGGCAGCAAAGAGTATCGAACATTGACGCTAGTATCGGTCAAGGAATTTCCATTGACCCTCATAGGTACACCTAACGAAGATGAAGATCGCAAGATGTTCGAAGATTACACTGAAGATGCATGGTCGATCAGCATGGATGGTACAACACTCACTAGGTACCACAACTCGTTGAGGAAGACCTTGTTCAATCCTCGAGATACCAACGACATTCCAGTGGATATCAGAAACCTCAAGACAGAAAGGTACACTTATGGAGAAGAACCGATCAACAAGGATTTCTTTGAGGATGGTAAGTTTTGGACTTTGGATGAGCCTCACAGAGACCCAGAACCACTAGGAGGTTTATCTTGGACAGGACGCAGTGTATTTGAACTCATTGAACCAGTGAACCCCAAGGCCAGGAAACCGAAACAGAGGGTTCACCAACTGGACACGATTCCAGAACAGGAAGAAGAACAGGAAGAGACCTCAGAGGCCCAAGCACCAGCGCACAGGCACGAGCTTGCAGGAGAACTGTCATTTACCTTCAACGGTCATGAGTACAGCCAGCAGAACAGCCTCAAGGCCCTGAAAGAACTTTGCAAGGAACTTGGAGTTTCAAACTTTGGTTCTAAGCAGGACATTCTTAGAAGACTCAGCAGGTCAATCATGGAAGCAGAAAGGCACATGGAGCTTACCGCAGCTCAGAAGAAGTACAAGGAGTACATCGAAGCAGAACCTCTGAAGGTACCAAAACAGCCAAAGCCAGAAGAAGTTGCAGTGCATAATCTCACACACTTGCCTTACGCATCGTGGTGTCCTACATGTGCAGCGTGCAAAGGAAAAGAGTCTCCACATCTTCGTGAGAACCCAGAGAAGGAAAGATCTCTGAGACCAACTTTCTGCATGGATTTCTGCTTTACAGGAACAAGTCATGACGAGGCACCAGCAGCAGTCAGTCTTGTGTGTGTTGATTCTTGGAGTAGGAACATGGTCTGTATCCCTACAGCACCCAAAGGAAAGGATCTTGTAGAGCACCTTTGCGAAGGAGTCACCTACTTGAGCACCCAGCTAGGATATGGAGCCATCAACTTGAAGGCCGACAACGAAGGAACAATGATGAAGCTGAAGCAGGTAATCCAGAAGCAACGAGCAGCCTTAGGTTTAGGAACAACCTTGCAGGACGCAGTCAGTGGCCAGAAGGAAACTAACGGCATGGCAGAGAGAGCAATTCAAACCATTAGGCGACAAGGAACTACATTGATTAGGCACCTGGAACACAAAACAGGAACATATATTGCTCACACCCATCCAGTCTTCAGTTGGGCTTTCAGGCATGCAGCGTGGACCTTGAACAGGTACCATCGCCACACAGGTACAGGAATGACGCCATATGAGTGGATTGCCGGGCGCCCTTACGAGGGCCAACTTGCCGAATTTGGTGAATCACTTTTGGTTTTGACCAATCGTTCAGGAACACGTGGCAATAGGAAAGGCGACCCTATTTGGTTGAGAGGAGTGTTCTTAGGAAAAAACAGACAACAACTTGTTAATTACATGGCACATGGACGGCATCAAGACAAGCCGTAGCGCAAAACGCTGTGTGGAACATTTCGATGTTAAAGGAATAAGCAGCGTAGGAATTCACACTTGGGAAGTGAAGCACACCACACTTACAACAAGGAACATCCCAAGGAAGAACATCCCAGGACCACTTGCAGAGGCACCACCTATCATGGATGGAGCCGCGACTCAGGAACAGTCAGCTCAGGAATCGGCACCTTCGGCACCTTCAGGACCGATTGTTATCCAAGGCGGGGACTCTGCAGGAAAGTCAGGACCTACTAGGTCAACGTACTTAGAGAACAAAGCCAAACAAGCACAGAGCAAAAGGAAAGTAGAAGAAGAACTTGAGCAGGAATACCC